CAAATTCTTAAGAAGGCGTTTGGAATACAATCATGTATATATAATCGATACATACGCCCCGCAAAGATTATGGAAGCTTTGCAGTTTCTTAGTGAATATCCTCTGTATCGTGAGCACATATACTATAATGAAAATGGTTTGTGCGACACAACTTCTCATGATAATCCTTCAGGTAATAATATTCACGGGTTTTTACCTTCAGAGCTAAATCAGGCGGTCAAGAAACTCTTTTGGATAATATTCCTGTAGAAACTAGACTATAACCGTTTAGTTATAGCGCAGGTGAAGGACAAGACCAATTGACATAATCACGATAATAGTTCAGAAGAGTTGTCATTTGGAACAATATACGTTGGGCAGAAGCGTACATGCTCTGAAACATATAGCAAGATAATACGTTTTGAATCGCCGTTTTGACAGAAGAGCGTGTACCATTCCAGTTGTTCTATGATTACAAAAATTAGAACTGCTACAAATTAAGAATGTACACATTTGCCTAGAAAGTTTTCAGTCGCTACGAGTTACGGCCAAAATCTATTAACGAAAACTTTGTTCAAAACTTGATTCAACACGATGATGGTCACAAGGTTTTGAAAGGCGTTAGATCCTCACCTGCGCACTGGAAAGCTGAGAAGAAAAAGGCAATCGCTATGATTCGCCAATTTGGGCTTCAACCTTCTTTATCACGTTATCGGCTGCAGAATCTCAGTGGGTTGAGCTTTTGGTCATCCTCTCAAATGTTGATTCTAAAGATATTTCGGAAGAGGAAGCCAACAGTTTAACAACCAAGATAGATATCGCTTAATTCGGTCAGACGCGGTTACTTGTGCTAGATATTTTGACTACCGCTATCGACAAATTCTTAAGCTTTTAAAGGTAAGCCGGCATTTTTGGAGAGCATTTTGTACAAATTTCTACTGGAGAGTGGAGTTTCAACAGAGAGGTCCCCGATGTACATGCATGTATGGTTATAATTCTCAACTTTCAAGATCCTCAGACATTCCTGATGTCTAGTTTTATTGACAATTAATTTCTACCGATGGTTCGATCAGCCACTTAGAAAATTATTTGGTTATCAAAGCATAACACAGTCGGTCTTGTACTGGAAATAAGAGGACAACAGTTTTCGTTTTGGTATACCATATCACCAATGCCTTCAACGCAAATACTGTATCTTTACAGAAACAAGTCAAAATTCAGAAAGACACAAGGAAAACTTTTCAAAATTCAAAACGTTTTAAATTCAAATATGACTAAGAAGACATTTAATTAAAAGATTTTGAACACTTCTGTCTGATAGTAGAATAATATGTCTTTGATGACTATTGTTAGCCTTAGGTCAAGTTTAACAAAACCAATTTTCAAAAAGAAAATTACAGGATCGTTTATAAACGCTTATATCCTCTGATTTTGGAACTCCATAGTGCAATATGGATATCCAATATATACTGGATGCATGTGTTGCTGTTCATATATAATTAATTACATTACAAGTCTAACAGAGGAATTTCTAGGCTCTTAAATGAAGCTATATCAGAGGTAAATGCGAAATTCTATTAAGCAAAACTTAACATATAGGTCAAAAATTTATATCAGGCACAGAAATATCTGCACAGAAGCAGTATATTGCTGCATTGGGCTCCATCTTTCGGAAGCAAGTAATGCAGAAATATTTATAAATACCTCTCGACTGAGGAACGTGTTCGAATGGTAAAACCTAGAGCGGAACTTCAGAACCTTCCTTCAGGTTCGACTGAAATATTCGTAGCCGGTATTTTAGACCGTTATGTTCAGATCGATCAGTTAGAAATCTTTGATTAGCTGATTTTGCATCTAGGTATAAATATGTTAAATCTAGTAGAAGAGAAAGATAGTGATCATGAGAAGAAGAGAGGGAAGACGATAATTTACAAGAAAGCGGGGTTGTCATGCTCTTAAAGACGGTAGCGGTTTTGTGAAAAACGTACCAAACTTGTATTATTCGGTATAGAAGGTTAACCGATTTGTCAGAGTTGAGTATTTCCGCGAAATGTTAATGCTTTACTATCCGTGGCGGAATGACAGCAAGATCTCATTGAAAACGATCATGAGCAGACTTGCATAACACTCGTATTATTGAGGAAAATCAAAGAAATATGATGTTTTGAGCAAAGAGACTTGAAAATGTTCTGAAAGTCTTTATAATGAAATAGACTTGGACGAAAGTGCTCAAAATGAACTACTATCGTGGAAAATGAGTAACAAGTGTTGGCACTTCCAGAAATAAACCCAAATATAAATTTGCTGGACTTGCATGGCGAAGATTCAACAGATATGGCACTGATTGCAATATTAGACTTATTAAACTACCCTTTAATTCCAGTTGAGGAATTATTTTCTTTAATTAAAAGTCTAAATACTAAGCAAGAACCTATTTGACACATTTGATGCCCACCTAAAAACAATCTCCCATTTTATGAGTTGATTGGCGGGGTGCAGATGTAGGAAAGAGTCGTTGGATATCTGCAATATAATAGCTCTTAACCATCGTTACAATTCTACACCTGGATCCAATCAGTCCCTCAAAGTTCTTCTTTGCGCACCTACGGTTAAAGCAGCATTCGGAATAGAATGACCCTTCATTCAATATTCTCTTTACCTGTTAATCAGTTGAATAGAGAGTTGAGGCACTTAGCAATGACAGTGATTCATTGTATTCCAGACTTATCGATTTAAATTAATCATATTGATGAAATATAAATGGTAGGTGCTCGTATGTTTAGCTCTGTTGTGGAGATTAAAACAAATTTTCAAACAGACAGCCCCTTCGGTGGTATACCGATCATAGTGTTTGGTGATTTGAAGCAACTCTCACCTGTTGGAGATAGGTGGATATTCTCTTAATCCCAATGATGCATACAGCACTTTAGTTGGTTCCTTTGTGAAGTTATTTAAATACTTGGAATTAACAGAGATAATAAGACAACGGGAGGATCAGGTATTTGCAATTGCATAATAATATGGATCTGGTACTATGACAATGAGGACATATCATCATTGAAACTCGAGTAGTTAATTTCGAAGAAGTTCCCGATGATGCATACTTATTTTGGTCCAATGAAGAGACAAATAATTTCAATGCCCTTAGCTCAGTCGAATCCCAAAGAATTTCTTTCAACTGCAAAAGACTAGTTAAGGAATTGGTATAATGAAAATGATAATATTTTGGAAAGAGTTAAACTTTTCAAACTTCTGAAAAGAGGACTGCCTATGAATTGCACAAAAACCTCCGCCAAATATATGATTAAGTGAACATAAACACGTGCGATGGCTTGTTAATGGGGCAGCTGGACAACTTATGCAAATTGTTACCATTGTTCTTTTCAACAATTCTGTGGATTAAATTTTGAACCTTCTGTTGGTTTGATAGCACGATCAAAAAGCTCATCCTCTAGAAAGTTCTGGGACCAATTAAAAAAGTTCTAAAATCTTTCATATAAAAGAAATGAACAAATTTCAATTGAAAGAAATCAGTTTCCAGTTGTTCCGGCTGAGGGATAACTATTCATAAAGTCAGGGTGCCACATATAATAAGTTGTGGTTATACTCGACCCAGAATGCATAGAGCTTCAATATATGTCGCTTGTGTCGAACTACTTCGCAGAAGGTCTATTTATCATAGGAAATTTTATTCCCTAACAAATTTTCTGAATCGGATCCCGGATTTAGGGAACTGAGGGAATTGAACACAAATAAAACTTTGACAACAAGTTTCAATTTTATGATTTCCCGAACATCAGGACATCAAATTTTATTCCATAATGTTTAGAGTCTTCACGCTCACATTAATGATATAAAAAGCGACTGTTTGATGCTATCTTCAGATATTTTATGTTTTGTAGAAACTTGGAGTTACCCGTCCGAAAATTCTGATATACCAGGATTTACTCCAATTAACGAGCTGAGGATAGATAGCACGGGGCATTATAATGTATGCAAAGCATAGTATTGCTAGCGTTATGTAACCAAAGGCTGTTAAGAAAACTTATTCAGGCCGCAAAGTTTTAGAAGCGGTTTTGTTAATTAATATTCTGGTTCTATACAGAAATTCAGCTTTCTCTGTCAGACAATTAATTGTAGAACTTCAGGAAGTCCTTACTTCTGAGTTAAGCAATCAAAATGTGCTAATTGTTGGAGATTTTCACATTTGTTTAATGTCTACAGGGACTGCAATAAGAAATCTGCTCCAAGAAAAAAACTTTAGTTCCCTGCTTGATGCAGGATATTCAACTACACCTGCCGATACACAAATTGATTTGGCATTTTCAAATATGGATCCTTCCCGTGTAAATGCAATTACTTTTGAGACAGTACACAGCTATCATGACAGTATTTGTGTCTCTATTTCGAACTAAAGTTTTCAGACTTAGTGCAATTGTTCATTTTTTTTTCCAAATATAATCGAATTGGAATGGTATAGGAATTTTGACAGTAGTTATTAAGACAATTTTAAGAAAAATATGTAAATAATCTAATTAAGAAAATTTAAATTATATATATAATTTGTTATTATATTATATATGACATTATTGTATAAATATATGATTGAAATAAAATAGTATAATGAAAAAAGAAATATAATTTGGATATATGTATAAGAATCTCTACAAAGATTTATGTTTAATATTGTAAATATTGTATACAAATTAATATAATAATATTATATCATTTTTAAAGTTGTTAATATTTATTATTTTTAAGCTAAACATGTATAATAATATCGATATAATAAATAAAAAATGTTATTCATTTTTCAAAAACGATTTCTTTTCATACTTCTCAATACAGTTGTAATGCATTCTATATAAAATCAATTATAAGCGTATACAAAAAGCACAAGAACGATTTCTCATAATTTGAGTAAATTTAGTTTACAAATTGCTCTAATTATTTTCACTGTGAGTGAAAAGTAAATATCTAAGGCAACAGTTCTTACTTCTAATTATTAAAATATAATATATAAAGAAGTCTCAAACGAATATACCATTTAACTTTGCGAGAGTATAAAATGTTCGGTTACATCCGAACTTAGCCCTTCCTTACTTGTTATTACTTGTTTATTTAGATTCGTACCACACAAGACAATAAAGGTAAATAAAATGCACTAATGTTTATTTAGACTCGTACCACACAAGACAATGAAGGTAAATAGAATACACTAATGAACCAAATTATATAGATACATAATACATATAATAAGTAAGTTAGGATGAAAATATCAAAATACACTGCGAACTGTGGTTTAATGTGCCATTCCCTCTCTTATACACACTCACATAGGACAGCACCCTGTTAATGACCAATTACCATTAATAGGATTTAGATCTGGAGGAGCTATTTACTTCGATCTCTTGCTTCTGACTAAAACAATAATAATAAAATGTCGAAACATGATTTAAATTTGAATTTAGACACCAAGAATACAATGTCTTCAAGTAAATTTCTTATATATTAGCAACGCCTTTTTCCGCACCCAGATAAGGTAGACCTATTTACAAACTGATAGGCGGTTAAACCGTTCTAAACCAGTAGTGATTTAATCTCATAAGACGAGATCGCTTTGAATGCCGTTTGACTATCGCTAAGTAAGGAATATTGGTCATTGCTCACCGACTTTGTACATAAATGTCTTTATGTAAATTGTACATGTGGAATTTGTTCGCCCTTGGCCTTCATTTTTTGGGACTATACCTCTGCCATACCATTTTAAAGAGTGTTTTGTGGTTTGTTTAATCCTAATTTGAAGAGGTGTGAGAACCATGATGACCTTCAGCGCTGCCGTCTGGCACGTACGCAATGCAAGCAAGCAAGACTTTGCAATTTCGAAAGTTGTAGCCCCACAGAAGTCAGTTAGACTCTCCACCCAAAGTGACTGATCTTACAACCACCTAATGACTCCTGTCATTAGTGCTTTCGGGACTTTAAATTTAATTAATTCCAGGTGCTTATTCCACCAAAGGGGAAATCCAGTGTAAAGACTATATTGACCTCATTTGTCATGGTTATTTCTCTGCCACCTAGATTTATGGTCCTTAATGCCGGCAGGAATCTTCTTCTGGTGAAAGTGACCATGGTCGTTTTTGACGGACCGATTTTTAGTTCTACTTTATACACCATCCCTTTGCCAGACCTAAACTGCTTTGCACAATGTTAGAATCATGGAAAGTCAAAGCGTTCATTTTGACTTACCCTATTTTTGCCTCACTTCGATATCAAAGTTTGAAAAGTCTAGAAACGTGAGAAAAGTTTTATGTAAATCAGTATAAAAACACATGATATTAGATTAGAACAAGTAAGGAAGGGCTAAGTTCGGATGTAACCGAACATTTTATACTCTCGCAAAGTCAAATCGTACACTCGTTTGTGGATTGACCGATATTTTCGCTAGAAGGTCAACTATAGGCACTGTGGTCCACATATTCAGTATCTAGGGGCTTGAACAGTTTTGGTTCGATTTAGACAATTTTTGGTCACAAGGTGGCATACTTTAATCGCATTATTCACGCAAAGTTTTCTCCCGATACAGTCATTGTTGCCTGATTTCCATAGTGGAAAGTGAAAGAATCAGATGGAATTTAAAATGGTGTTATATGGGAAGTAGGCGTGATTGTAGTCCAATTTCGCCCATTTTTGCACTATAAGATAGAGATATGAAAAGAATGTACCGAATTTGGTTGAAATCGGTTAAGCAGATCCCAAGATATGGGTTTTCACCTAGAAGTGGGCGGTGCCACGCCCACTGTGTAATTTTGAACGCGGTTCCTATAAAGTCATCTCATACCATCCCAGATAATATTTAATGTCTCTGGCGTGTTTAGTGCTTGATTTATCGCGCTTTTAGAAGTTTTTAACAGTACCGTTATATGGGAAGTGGGCGGAGTTGCCACCCGATTTCAGCCATTTTCACACTGTAGATAGAGGTTCTAAAATTTTGTTATTGTAGCATTAGCGGTTTAGGAGATATGCACATTAAACCTATTAGGGGCGGGACCAAGCCCACTTAAAAAAAAAATTTTAACTGCAGATGCCCCTCCCTATTGTGATCCTGTATACCAAATAAGAGTCTTGTATCTTGGTGTGCTTAGTTATGGCAATTTATTTGTTTTTGAATAATGGCGTTTTGTGGGCGTGGTAGTGGTCCGATTACGCCCAACTGCAATACCAATCGTCTCACGGTACCAAGAAACATGTCTACCAAGTTTCATAAAGATATCTCAATTTTTACTCAAGTTAAAGCTTGCACGGACGGACAGACAGTCACCCGGATTTCAACTCGCTTCTTCATCCTGATCATTTATATATATATAACCCTATATCTAAGTCGTTTAGTTTTAGGTGATACAAACAACCGTTAGGTGAACAAAACTATTATACTCTGTAGCAACAGGTTGCGAGAGTATAAAAAAAAACCTAAAAAAGTAAATTGATTTTGTCGTTTTAATATCTTGAGTTTTAAAACAAATAAACAATTTACTATCTGTTAGAATGTGTACACTTTAGTAGTAGATCTCGTAGATAAAATATCTTAACCAGATTTTGATATCAAAGTTAAGTCCTTAGATATACATATGTATGTAAATAGGCGTTTGCGTTCACGAATCTGATTATATTTATCTGCTAGAATAGCACACCAATCTTTTAACGATTTACATCCAAAGCATCTTTATTCTCTCAATTTGCTCTACTTTAATGGTTCTTTCTGATTGCGATCATACTAAACTACTATTAGTTTAAAAATATGGACAGAAAAAAGTAAAAGGAGATTCGATTCAACAAAAAAATGTCAAATTTAAGTACAGTATGTTCTGAATATTTTATGTGATTAATAGCTGCGATTTCGCTATCCAAATATTTTAGTGACTTTAGCGCACTTTACTAAAGACGTTGTGTTTGTAATCAATACCTAACTATATTTAAGTATATTCAACTAAAGACTGATATTCTACCAATTATACCGAAAATCAAAAGAATAAATTTTAAACATGAGTCTTTTTTGTTTAATCAAATCAGTTAAATCTATGGGCATATTATATATATTATAATATTTATTTCTTACATATGCAGAGTTTATACTAGAATGAAACTGCGCGGAATTCTATAGAACACAGCCATGCCACAATATTAATTAACCTGAGTTGGCGTGTTTTCCACTCAATTTCTTGGCACGTGTCTTTGCCATATGAGACATAACTAAATAAGTTCCCGGCAGGATCAAGAACAGCAAATAAATCTTCATAAATGCAGGCATATTAAAATATAAGTTTAATTTGTTAGGAAATTCCACAGACAACTTTTTCGTTTCTTCAAAATAGGGTAGATTACGGATAATTATTATACCTTCGCATAATATTCCCATAGGGTACAATGGTATCCAAATACTATAACGCAGCCATGTGAGAAGAAAAATTTCGCATTTGAAAAGTTGAGTTAAGTAGTATGGATATCTGAAAAACAGAATAAACAGTAAAGTTAGTATATTCGGCTAAAAAGTAAAAGAAATGCGATAATCAATATCAATAAATCTATTTTGTCCAAAAAACTACTATGACTAGAGAGTAGGTTATATTTATTAACTATGGACCCATACAAAAGTGACGTTAAGGTACAATTTGATATCAGATTAGTTCAAATATTTTAATCAATTGATAAAACATAATGTTTTGAAAATAAATGTTTATAAATATGCAGATCGTGCATAACAATTGTAAAATGTAGTAAAAGGGAAATATGTGGTCTACAACGTAATTCACACTTACTTACTACTGCAGTAATATTCCGCAAATATTTAGGATCTACAATTAATCGCGCTCTTACCGAATTATTTCGATACAGGACCATATCGTAAACACATAAAAAATTACGGGTTTCGTTTGCATACGCTCCTCTAGCTCCACCATGACAAAGAGTATAAAATTTCGTCCCATAACTTGAAAAAATGGCATCAAAGCACCACCTTTTGTGTATCCAAAAATGGGATGAAGCACCTCAAGATATTGCAACAGCTGACAAAATTTCATTGCCTTTCCTACAGACTCATATGTTTTAGGCATCGACATTATACCATCGCGGTAATATAGAACGCCCATCACGATTAATATGTAAAGATATCCAATAAATTGGAACAAATTATAAAATATTAAATACACTTTTTTGGCGCTTTCTGAAATTGAATAAAAATTTTACATGTAGACTGGTATTGTAAATAATTAAGAGCACAAAGATACTTTTTTTGAACACGATGACAAAAAAATGTGTACGTGTCTTAAAGGACGTTTCTCAAATTAGTACTTATGTATTAACGACACCGCAGCAAAAACTAAATGATTATCAGGTGTAGACAATCTCAACCTAACACACATGTATGTCATGTATGGCCTTTTTTAGAACGCCTTTTGGTATTAGCGGCCTTCGGTCGCGTTAATACGTAAGTAAGTAAATTGTAATAAGTATAAATATTATGAACACAAAAATAACGTACGCTCACGTAACTTATTATTTATCTACAAACATTGTCAGTTTAGGATATGAATTATTATTCGCATATTTAATGAATCGGGAAAATTATTTCTGTATATTTGTTTTATATTAATTTTATCTTTATTTCAAGATTTACATGGGACACATGTACATGGGTGTTATATTTTTAAAAATATTTAAATTTTTTTTTTATTTTTTGCATATTTTCAGTCTATGGAGAATACTTTTAAGAATACCATACCTAAATTTTAAATTAATATTTTATTATAAACAGCTGTTGGGTCACCGATTGAGAACCACTGCATTATACGGTCATATGTTTTATATATTTTTGCTATTTATTGTTCTTTATTTATTTGGCTAAAATATTCAAGGGCAAGCATTAGAAGTCATTCACCTCAATGCAGTTAATAATTGTATTTGTATTGTGTACATACTTACATATTTATTTGCTTGCTTGCTCTTGCTTTGTACATTTATGCTACCGCTATGTTTTCGTCCACGCAATTATATGAATTTGTTTGTGCACATTAGCTAGTCCCATTAAAGATGTAATAAGCTTAATATGTAAGCAGCCTCTTGCAATGCTGCGTTCTCATTTTTTATACGAAGGAGCAATAGAGTAAAGTATGTACTTGGGTTATTCTCCTTTTATGAACTGTTAACTTTATATAACTTACATACTTTTGTATATATGCACTGATAGAAAACGAAACTATGTACTTAGCGGAAATTATGTATTGAACGGTATTGCAATATTGCTTAGAATATTATTTAAAGAGAAGAATTTTGCGAATAAAGTTAGTCTAATAGCTGACCACAAATAGCATCATTACTCGGCCCTATGTATTTTATCGCTGTTACAACTTCGCCTAAACTTTTCGCTTTTTCGATATTTGCGCGGTTACAAAAAAAGCTTTGTAGCCCTACAACAGCATTTTTTTCAACCAAAGGTCTTTGTACGGGTGATTTTACATTACCCATCACATTATGATTTATGCATTTTGAGTATAATCTTTATTATTTATTTCTTTTGACATAACATGTAGATATGGCAACACTCAGTATTAGTTAGCTTGCGACCCTTTTGTTATTGTCTGATAGCATGGACGGATAGATGAGGTCCTCAGGATTAAAAAATGTAAACACATACATATACCCGCCTCAGACTTATTGTTTTCGAAATATTTGTGTTTAAAGTTCATAAATTGTAAAAGTAATGAACGCTATTTCACATTTTGCAAATATTCTTTTGCGTCGAACTTCTTTCTGCGAAAACCTTTCTGCACTGGCGGCAGCGCTTCAAAAAAATTACCCTAGTTGGTCCAATACCGGGGTGTTCATGATTCTTTCGCGTCGAACTCCTTTCTGCAATTCTCTTGAAACTGTGAGTGTGCCAAGTAATTTTTAAAGTATTTATATTTTCTTAAAAAAACGCATAATAAATCTATATTTTGGATATATTTCAAACAACACCTGCAACAGCATCACGTTCTACTGACGCTTTTTGCCCTCATTTTTGCCTTTCTATCAGTAAATATGCAACACATTTGATCAATTTCGATATTTTGTAGTAGTTAAAAAATGAACTTGAATATATTTAAAATATTCTTAAAATAACTCAAAATCACAGTCGAATACACTTATTTGGATTAATAGTTGGATTTTAGCTTTAAGCATTTACATTATGAACAAGTAAGTAAGGCGGTTGTAACCAAACATTTTATACTCTCGCAAAGTCAAACGGTATACTCGTTTTAGATTTCTTTGTGGATCTTGCCGCCTTGTTCTATGTTGGCCGATATTTTCGGTAAAAAGTCAACTATAGGCACTGGGGTCCACATATTCCGTACCTAGGGGCTTGAACAGTTTTGGTTCAATTAAGATAATTTTTGGTAAAAAAGTGGCATACTTTAAACGTATTATTCACGCAAAGTTTTACGCCGATATAATCATTGTAGCTTGATTTGCATACTGGAAAGTGAAAATATCAGATGGAATTTAAAATGATGTTATATGGGAAAAAGGCGTGGTTGTAATCCGATTTCGCCCATTATCGTACTATAACATAAAAATATGAGAAGAATGTTATTTATAGAATTTGAAATCGGTTAAGCAGATCCCAAGATATGGGTTTTCACCTAAAAGTGGCGGTGCCACGCACCCTATCTAATTTTGGAACGTGGTTCCTATAAAAATCATCTTATACCATCCCAGAGATAAAATTTAATGTCTCTGGCTTGTTTAGTGCTTGATTTATCACGCTTTTAGTAAATCACACCGTCGATAGAAATGCTAAAAACATTTGTTCCCAGTGAATTTTGTTATTATAGCTTCAGTGGTATAGGATATATGCACATTACACTTATTAGGGAGCGGGACCACGCTCACTTTAAAAAAAAATTTAACTGCAGATGTCCCTTACTAATGTGATCCTCAAATAAGAGTCTTGTATATTGTTGTGGAGCTTAGTTATGGCAATTTATTTGTTTTTTATTAATGGCGTTTTGTGGGCGTGGCAGTGGTCCGATTACGCCCATCTGCAATACCAACCGTCTTACGGTACCAAGAAACATGTGTACCAAGTTTCATAAAGATATATCAATTTTTACGCAAGTTACAGCTTGCACAGACGGATGGACAGACAGTCACCCGGATTTCAACACGTCTCTTCATCCTGATCATTTATATATACATAACCCTATATCTAACTCTGCAACAAGTTGCGAGAGTATAAAAATTATAACTAAAAAACTAAATGTGTGAAAAATCGTGTATACAAACAGAACAATGGCAACATTGGTGAAATGAGAACAAAAGAGAATTTCTGCGCTGCAACTACGGGCATAACTTTTGACAAATTTGGTTTGATACGGGCGGTAAGTACGGAAGGGAGGAATGTCGGTGACTGTTTGTGCTATTAGGCGTGACCTCCTTCATCCGTCCGTACCAGCAGATCGCGGAGCCAAAAAAAATGGTAAATTTGCTATAAATAGAAATGAACAAAGAGTTTAATATTGAATCAAAGATATTTCTTCAATAATTAATACAAAATAAATATGAAGAAACAATTAAGTAAAGTGTTAATGTATGCAAAGTGCATAATAGACGTGTAAAATTCATTACAAAATTCAAAAATTACATATTTAAAATTGTTAAATTTATGAATTTTAATATATATATATATATATATATATATATTCTTATTTTTATCGTAGTTGTTGTACTTGTTTACTAATTTTCAATTTCGTCATGGAGTGCGACAAGGGCAAAGGCATATAATATATACGCAAAGAGACTGGCTTAAGGATGGAGATAATTATTCCACTTAGGAGTGAAATGCGATGGAGTGAGCTAATATAATATAACCTAAAAGTATTGAATGAAACGTAAGTATATACGATTTGTATATAACTGTTTAACTTAAATATATACATAACATGGATTGTGCGATGAAAGAGATAGAGTAGTAAAGAACAACTATTTTAAAGATTGGAATTGAAACAGCATTAGTAAGAAATGAAAATGAACCAAAAAATTTACTTGAGGCTGTTGAGAATAGATTTACAAATCGAATGGATGAAATGAACAAGGTACAAGACTTAAAGGATGAATGTTAATCCAAATCGCTTAAGTATTGCAAACATAGAAAAAAGAAAAGGGGAAACAAGGTTGGATAGAGGAGATTCTCCAGATAAAGAATATATATCTTACAAAGCTGAATGTAGAAACGAAGAGACCTGTTTAAAATGCCACTGAAAACATTCCACAAAATCATGTACTGAACAAATGACAAAGAAATGCATAAGTTGTATTCGTGCCAACATGAACCTGGATAGTTACCATGAGACCACAAATAAATTATATCTAGTCTATATGAACAAAATTGAAAGTAACAAGTAGAAAATCGGATCTAGCAACCAAAGCGAGCACTAGGAATATACAGGATTTTATACAAAAATTTTGCACAACTTCAAATACTGGTAGAGAACAATGATTTTGACTTTATTTCACTAAAGGAAAGTCATTTTGGCGAGAATAATTTTGAGAATAAAATATTTCTTGAGAAATACAATAATAGCAACTGTCTCTCAAACTCATCCAGAACAACACAATAATACTATAAAAGAAAACAATTGGAAAGTTAGAGAAATAGCAGAAAAACGTTGTACCTAGCGGCTAGCATGTAAATGTATTGATGGTGGAAATGAGGCAACATTGGTAGTGCTGTGTGGATCACCAAAAAGTTCTAGAAAAGAGTTTTGCGAATTCTTCAGGGAAAATATAGAAGAACTGACCGAAGTATGCGATAAATTGGTATTATTGGGAGATTTGAGTAAAAAAAATTAGAGTATATTAAATGACAAAGGATTGAAACAAAAAATGCAATAATATTCAAGAACAATTATTGATTATGTGGTTATATTGTGTTAGCAAGTCAAGTTGATGAAAATTTTCAAATTTCAGACCATGAGACAATTAAAATAAAATTATCAGTTAATAATCCGAAAAGTAGGTCACTAATAAACGAAAAAGTATATTCGTTCCAGTATAATAAAGAAAATTTTAAGAAAAACCTTTATAAAAAAACATATGGAAATGAAAAAGGACGATCCATTCAATATAACGTGAAAAAAATGCAAACGAGTTTGAAGGAAGTATTAACAAGTCATACAAGGTATAGAATAGGCAGATATGGTAACACAAATAGGTGGTTTAATAAAAGTTTAAAAATATAATATCTAAAAACAAAAAGATTAACATATCAAGTTGTAAAATTTTAAAATACTAGTGAAAAATGGGAAGTGTATATTTCTAAATTAGAAATAAATATAAAATAATGCAAAAAATAAATATATACGTAAGTAATAATATAATTAATACAGAGGGACAAAAACATATGTGGAAAAAAAGAAAAGAACTAGTTTCATGTGAGGAAACCTTAGAAATAGATTCGGTAGAGTTTGATGGAGTGGAATTAAGTAATTTCGAACAAATTTAATGAATATTTTATTAAAATTATTGAAGAAATCAGTGAATCAATAGAGTACATATGTTCAATATAGTAACCATATTAAAAATATAAGCAGCGAATTTAACTTTAGAGAAATTACGTTAGATGACCTGTATAATGTATGTATGAATATTAAAAATAAGCCAGATTTTGATGAAATTCATAAGGGAAAGTTGATAGATAATTACGAAAAAATTGGATATAGTCAATTACATTTGAATAATAATTCGCTTACGAAAGGAGTTTTTTCTCAATGGTTGAAAGACTTTAGACCCATCAATACGTTAAAAATCGGGCTTCAGCAGCAATAAATTATATTATTGATGAATGGAAGTCAAGTGAGACACGAACAAAAATTATCGCAGTCTTTTTGGACTTTTGGAAATGAAATGAGTAAATATGGGATTCGAGGAGTAGAAATTGACTGGTTCAAGTCATATCTTGAAAATAGATGCCAAAGAACACTGAGGAAGGGTGAAAAAAGAAGTATCACAAGGTCACGGACCAAGATATTTTTATTCTTAGGTCAAAAACTGCAACCTCGACAAAATTCGTAAAAAAAAAAAACAAAACAAAAAAAATTAAATTGACATTTGTTTCTCCCGCTACCTGGGTCAGCTTTAAAATACCATCCCAGGATTTCAGGGTATAATCTTTCTTTTCGTTCGTTTGCTAAATATATTAGTAACACGGCTATTTTCAGTATGCAACCGTTTTGTTATTGTGTGAATAAATAAAATTGAAATAAAAGTTCAACATTGAATATAAGCTATTTTTACACTATATAGTGTGAAATAAATGTGCAGAAACGAATTAGTGTAGTGTTAGTAGATATAAAAGCGTAAAATATAAGTGTAAAATCCATCTTAAATCGAAAAAATACGTACATCAAATAGTTGAAATTTTCAACTTTAAACGCATGTATACCGAAAACTATAAGTTCCCCGCTATATCTATATATTCTTGATCTAGAGAACATCCTCTATCCCCCCATACCCATTTTATCCCCGAAATCCTGGGATGGTATTCTAAAGTTTTTCCCACTACTTCAACATAATAATACAAATAAAGGAAATAAGAAACTACAAGTATAACAACCTTTTAAGTACCCCAATTCTTCTTTCTGTACTCTGACAAACTCTTTAGAATAGTCCTCCATAATATTGCGGGGCTTTTCATCGTCAATCATTTCGTCTTCGGTTCGCCAACGATCAAAATCTATTCTCAACCAATGTGGTTTTTGAGGTGCGGCAATTAACCGAGGCCACCATTTATATTCATATTTTTTAATGACGAATTCCACTTTGTTGTCCGTAATACGATAGCTACATTGCTAAATAAATAAAAAATAATGAATGCACGATTGTGTTACCCATATTTAACATACCTCTTTATAAATAGAATCATAAAAATGTAAATCGAATTTGTACTCATTGAATCCGCATGCTCCATATCCTTTAGAAGAAAATTTAAGATACTTTTCCGTGGCGTTAAACAATGCTGCCTGAAGTATATTTTATATTGATTTTTCACTTTATCTTATACTTAAGCTTTAACTTACGTTTGCATCTTTCAAATCTACTTTTAATGTTATTTGTTCCCTTGTCTGTGCCCAAAACACTAATGGATGTAGAGCATTTGTACTAAAAGATATACATACATATGTTTTATTTTTTTTTTAAATAAGTTTATTACACATTGTGTAATACACAAAGTAACTATCCTTACGTCTTTATCATTTTGTCAAGGATGAAATGATGCGAGACTCTTTGAATCGAGAGAGAGCTGTCAAAGCCCACATTTTTTATAACATTTGCCAATCATGCCACTGTCGAAAGAAAATGGATTGGGTATTATAAAAAAAACTTTTGGGTATTTTGTATTTCAATATTATTTTTAGGTGCTCCGTCCCCGAGTAGGCCTTTATAACGCATATACATCCCTATATACGTATATTTATATTATAAAATTTTTTAAAGATCATATAACATAAAAAAAATTGCATATAAATAAAAAAAAATTATAACAAAGAAACAAAACAAGTCATAATAGAAGATCATGGTTTTATAATGAACGTTTTAAATTAAATTAGCAAATAAAATTTAGTTGCAGGTTATTCAAATGTATTTGTGTCGTTCCTTGAAATTTCGTTTCCCACTGCTTTGTTAGCTATTTTTAGCTGGTTTATTTCTGGCATCCCGCCTTTTTTGACATCAGCTGTTCGAAATTCCCTGATTTTAATAATCAGGGAAAGAGAATAACAGAAAAATCAGCGAAAATGAGAGAGTCTCGCATCATGTCATCCTTGGTTATAGTCCAAGTGAATCAAAAGTTTTCGCACTAATAAATAATGGTCGTGATTTTTTCAATATGTCAAAAAAAAACCACGAGTTCATAAGAAAGAGCGGGTATTTTGTCGCAGAGTATTGATTTGCTTAGCAGTACCAATTGTGAGCGTATATACATATTTTGGTTAGAATTCCCAGCATATGTTATGTAAACTTTGACTTCCGAATAAATGATCAAAAGATATTTATTTATGGAAAAGAAAGAGAAAAAAGAAATAAGGTTCATGTTTAGGTTATTTAAAACTTGTAGGTCTTTGAAATAATAAAATATTTTGTTAAATATAGTTTTAAACGTTAATAATGAAAAATATACATTTACATATAATTAGACGTCGTATAGAATATCTAGCTTGGTAAACTAATTTTAATTATGTATATTTTTCTGTAAAATGGAAACCGAAAAATACCCAAGAAATACATTAAAAAATCTTAAAACTTATTTCTTTCCTTAGTGGCACCACTATCAAATGTTATAAAAAATGTGGACTGTGACAGCGCTCTCTCGAATCAAAGAGTTGAATCATTTTATCCATGTTCAAAACACTGAAGGCATTGTATAATTCTACAAGTAACCAAAAAATCAGTTTTTTTCCTATGTGTGTAACACAGCTGAGATCACCTGATTGAAATCTGCCTTTTTCGACACATTGATGTAAATAAAAGAAATGTAACTTAATCACTTTTTTGTGCACGGGTATTTGTAATGGAAAACATTAATGAAAACTTTCAAAAATATTTGGTAAATGTATAGTTTAGGTCCCCCAACTAAGGGGACCTCAAAAATTAATTTTAGAAGATTACAAGCCCGTGAGTGGAGAGTGAATTTTTCAAAAATTTATGTATATATTTACATATATATTTAACGCCCTTTGCAATTCAAATCACTTAGTTGTAATTACCAGTTCATCGAGCTTAACATTATCTTGTGAAAAAAAAAATACTGAAGAAATGAAGAAGAATATATAAAGATATAGCCGCGGGAAACTTATAGTTTTCAAAATATTTACGTTTAAAGTTGAAAATTTCAACTATTTTAAGTACACATTAAAAAGAGAGATTATACCCTAGATACAGGAATCAAAATTGTTGATTGACACTAAGAAGTCTTTTAGTTTCCTACATTTGATAAACCCCAGTGTTGGACTGAACAGGGTTATATTTTTATTATCCCCGAAAGCCTGGGTGGCATACAAAAGTTTCCTTTCCATTACAAATACCCGTTCACAAAATAGTTTATAACTACACTCTTTTTATATACATCTCTGTGTCATAAAAGGCAGATTTCGATTCAGTAATCTCAGCTGTCTTATATACATAGCAAAACAACTGATTCTTTGGTTACTTGTAGGATTATAATCCAATACATTGTATACAATGAACTCAAGTGTCAGTTACAAAATAACGATTTATCTAGAACATTGTATAAGCGTTTTCATAACAATTATAACTCGAAAAGATGTATATATAAAATCAGGTACATGAATCAGGTTCATGAATATTAATGACATATTGAAATATTCAACTTGATTTGAACAAAAACGAAAATAAATATATAAAAATCAGGACCAATAACAATAATTAAACAATCTACTAAGTAATAAATAATTTTTACAAAATATTCTAAATCACCGTTACACAATAATATATTTGATAAAATTGTAAACATTTAACAATATTTCCATACAATTAATAATAATTTTAATAATACTATGTTAATTTAATCTTTAGGATTTACAACAACAGAAAAATATTGTAATATGTAATAAAAACATTCTTAAAGTTATAAATTTTAAAACATAACACGGCAACACTAGCAGATTTGTGTCATTTGGACGTTTTAGTAGTAGAATATTGGTTGGTAACCCGTACTAAGTGTGACTTTAGTAGTACAATATAAGTAGGCAACCCGTACTACCCGTTCCCGTAAGTGTGATTTTAGTAATATAATTTTTTAGGCAACGCGTACCAGTGGGACATTTTTGCGTGTGTTTAGTGAAAATCTTAAGATTGGTAGCTTGTAGATTTATACAATGGTCTAGAAATCCGTTACAATATTCCGTTCGTAGCAAAGTTTACATTACGTCCCGGCAGGCAACAGATGTTGTCTGGATAATTTATTGCTAACGATATTGTCAAAGAAGACTACATATTGATGATTCTTAAAAATCGCTGTCTATTATATTATATTTATTTTTATGATAACTATTGCAATAAACTGTGATATTGGTTATTTGTTAGTTTTGTTTTGTATTTTATAAAATATGACTGTATCATATGGCAATATCTGGTTAGCAACTATCTGTCAGTTAAGTTCTGGTAAACTTTACCGAAAGAAGTAGTGTTGGCTAATTTCTAACCAGAACAGGAAATAACAGTTGTCAGCTGTAAAATCTATAGAAAAAATCAGCTGAATAGGCGGGAACTCTTTTATCACTAATTTTAATTAATTAATTATTATGTATATTTGCATTATTTGCATATATGCATATTACAAACAAAAACCGAGTAATAAAATTTAAATTTTCGATCATAATGTAAATATTCCTTTGAAGCAGTGAAAGGAATTTCTGAGTGAAAAAGAATGCCGAATTGCGTAGCAGAGAGCTGTTACAAAAATAACTCAATGCGTGCCACCCGAGCACAAACGGCACAGTCCCTTCGAATTATACGTACATGGCTCATAACATTAACACAGTTTTTGCATGTTCACACTGAAAGTTTTATGAACTGTTTTCCCCACGCATTCATAATAATCAAACTATCTGTAGGTAAACTAACCACAACTTTGTTAAAGTTGGTAAGTAGTTTGGTCAGTTAAAGCCATCCTCCAGCTATCAGAGGTTCAGGACAATAATAACCGAGTATTGGGAAAACTGCTGATAATAATTAGATACTTCAAGTTTACTCCAAAATATATTTACGTATCCATCGTGTCAAACATTTGAACTTGCGGCTTTTCTTTTTGTCAACTTGTTTCTTCCTCCTTTCGAAGTTGCTTTCACTATTATATATTATAGTTATACTGTAAGCAACCTATCGGTTAAGTCACCGGTTAATTACAAAACACAGCTATCTGTTATCATTATTTTACATTATCACTAATTAATGCATTAGTTGTTCGATAGGTTGTTTTTGTTCCAGCCTAAGGAAATAAGTAGCCATTTCTCCTCTTTTACTACACGTCGTCTAATTCGCCAACTATTTTGGAAAACTGTCTGTTACTCATTGGTTAACGGCGTCCTATTCATTGGCTATTTGTTTGGTTAGCCATCTGTTACTGAAAATAGTTTGTTTGGTTATTGCTATGGTTACCTATAAGTTACAGAAAACTGGTTCATAGGTTACTTTGTTGGTTAGCCATTGGTTTCAGAAAACTAGTGCATCAGCTCGTCATTTGCTACGGGTTATTTGTTTGGTTATTCTTTAGTTACCACTGTCATACGTGTTGCTTACCTTTTTCCTTATAAATAAACCAATTAAATTCTTATTTTATTTTTATTTATTTTATTACTTTTTAATTTATATGTTTATACATTATGGTTCCATTTTGGCTTCCTATTTTTACAAACCTAAAGTAATTATTTTAGGATGGGTTTCAATTTTTAGCATTTATATATACATGTATGCATATATGTACATACAAATTTTCTTTCTTACAATAATTTTTACACATATTTAGTATTTATTTTAGATTAGCTTTTAATTATTAGCATTTTTAGATATATACATTACAAACTAAATTTTCTTTCTTATAATCATTTTTTGGCTAACATTTATATATATATACTATATAATAATTATTTTTTGTTGAAAATGTTATATATTGGTTAGAGATAGTTAATCTTAATTGATAAACTTTAAATAATTTACAATAATAATTAATAATAGGTACACTAATTCTTAATATTCGTACATTATGTACATACATGTATGCTAATCAAACATTAATAATTTTAATTAATTAATTTAGTTTTTAATACTAATAGCTAACTTAAATTTTATATTTTAAAAACTAAAATGGTGATATTGAAGTCCAGGTTGAGAAATTTCCAATGACATTGGCAAATATCTTAAATGAATAAAAAATAATTAAAAATTATTTTATTTAGTATTTGTTAAAGTAAATTATATTTTTCACTATATTTTAAAAATAAATTCATGCAAGTTTGTACACATTTCATATAAGAAGTTGAGGGCTACAATATTTAACATGGTACTTAACATAGATATGTTATCTACAATGGTTACCTTGGCTACATGTTAAGAAACGTCAAATATTCTATTGAAATTTTTAAATAAAAAGCCTTTGTTTAGTTCCCGTATAATTTTGTTTGTCATATTCTAACCAAATAAAAGATTTTTGGTTAATAGAGGAAATTTTCTACTTTCAATTTTGTGCTAAAATGAACCAGAATTATTTATTTATATTTATTTTATTGCGAAATGCTTGTCGGCAAAGTCGTCATTTGGTTTTGTTCAACAACACAATGTCCGCGCGAACTCGCCGTTATTTCGTTGGCTTGCCACCATACACAAAGGCGTTTCACTGAGGGCTCATAGTATATTATTATGTTGCTTAATTTGTATTGAAAAATATTGATGCATAAATGACTTATTTTCGTAATATAATAATAATATACGTAAAAATATTAATAAACATAAATTCATACTTACATTCGTTTTTAAAATAAATTCGATTAATAAAAATATATCTGCGTACGTGTATTTAAGAATGACTGTGTGATTGTCACATTTGTGTAAATTGGCGTAAAAAAGCGTATATTCAATAAACCTAAACATATGAACATATTTTCCTGAAATATTTTAATTATCTCTGACAGTAAAATATGCTATTTAAGTAATTGAATTGAGATATGCTAATTAATTCCAATTAATAAAGTAAAAAAATTAAATAAAATTTTAATTTTATGTATTTTACGATTCGAACGTATATGCTCGTATTCGGATTGAGCTTAACTCCTTCACGCTTACGACCTAAGCCACTATATAAATGGAAACGCGACCGCTTAGCCAGTTTTATTATTATCATTTGTTCAATAAGTATTATATATTGCTTACGCAAAGCACATACAAAAGTTTGAAAAATTGCATATCAAAGGTTATTTTATTATGAATTCTGGGGTTTTTGCCAGTAGTCCTTTTTAATTCAAAAGGCTTTTCACAATTATAAATTTTCGTCAAATCATTGAAATTGAAAACACAAATCTAAATAGGTATGCGCACCGATTTTTCATTCGTTGTGTCTATTATAGCCTTTTCTCCGTTTCGCACACAGCGTGGTGTATTTTTCTCTTTCGAAGTTATATTTTTCGATGTTCCCTCATGTGGAATTACAAATTAGTACTCAAAAAGATTTCATTTAACATTTGCTCCTTCTTTATTCATTAACATTCTCTGATTAAAAGTTTTGATAACATCTGAAAGGACCAAGCGGTCGCACGTATGCTCATACATACTTGTATAATTATGTGTGCGAGTAAACAAATATGAAAAACCACACGCATAATGTTTGTAAATTTGTCTACATACAACTTTGTATGTAAATATGTACACTCATTGCTTCATGTAAAATCTCCGTTGCCACGGACAACCAATGGCCGAAGCTCACGTTTTTTGTTTTCTTGTCAAAGAGTCACTGTGTCGAAAAATTGACGACTGTTTGCGCGACGACAAAGCGTCACAACAATGTATTCTTTGTAGAAAATCCAAGTTGTGCCGAAGAAAAGTTAACGAAGGGCCGCCGATTGTCACCGCTTCTCTTGTCGCTCTAACAGCTTTGCCTACAAATCATCGTAAATATGTATGTTTAGTAGTAGTATAAAACAATATATAAGTTCCGCGGACGCGCGGAAGAAATCGAATATGATAGTTTGAGTGATCCTCATGGATAACTGATCTCTTTATTTAAATTTACTCTTATATATACAATTTTCTTATTTGCTTAATTCTTACAATAAGTGTCAGTTACAATATTCGCTTATTCAGTAATTGGTTTTATTGTGTACATTTTGTGGGTGGTCTTGGCTTAATGAAAAATAATATTAATTACTTAAATAAGCAAAGATGCTTATTAAGAAGCTGTATTATTGCTAAGTGCAAAGATACAGTTTTGTTTATAATTAGCGTAAAGCTACTATGTGGAGGCTGCGGTTAACTCCCCCCTCTCTAAGATGAATCGTCCCCAATTCAATATCATTCTTCGATAGGTTATTTATTTTATCCAAAATAGCGTTATACGATATTTTTTGAGATTCTAAATTTCTATTTGTTTTAGAAGTTTTATAAAATATTTTTAGTTTTACAATCCTATAAACTATGTACATTATTAACAAAATTATAAGTATGTACCATAAAAATTAACGATGTTTAAAAACTTTCATTCGTTCAGCTAAAATATTTATGTTTTCAACTTTTTTATCCCTGAACAGGGTATATTATGTTTGCCATGAAGTTTGTAACACCCAGAAGGAAACGTCGGAGACCCTATAAAATATTATATATATAAGTATAAATGATCAGCATGATGAGCTGAGTTAATTTAGCCATGCCCGTCTGTCTGTATGTCCGTCTGTCTGTATATATACAAAGTAGTCCCTCAGTTTTTAAGCTATCGATCTGAAATTTTGCACCTGTCCTTTTCTAACAAAGAAGCTGCTCATTTGTCGGAACGGCCGATATCGGACCACTATAGCATATAGCTGCCATACAAACTGAACAATCGGAATCAAGTGTTTGTATGGAAAACTCTATCATTTGGAAATTAGACACGAGTTCTTGCTTACGGCAACGAATTATTCTCCGCAACTGGTCAGATCAGATCACTATATCATAAAGCTGCCTTTGTATTCTATAATTTCAAATTATTAATATGATTGTTCTTTAAATATTTCCAAATTTTACAATCGACATGTATATGTATATAACATTGTTAATATTTGTATAATTCTCAAAAGTAACAAGGTAAACTCCATTTATGGCATATCCATCAACTGTGTTATTTCCAGGGACTAATATTGTTCCTTCTTTAATTACAAGTACATCTATTTCTATATTTTTTTCTTTGATATTTTTACATTTACCTTCCTTTGCTGGACAAAATATCTGATAGGCAAGTATTAGTATTATTAATTTTACAATAGGTGTTTATCATTTATTTTTTACAATTTTTTATATTAATATATTCTTTCTTCCATTTTGCAATTTCTTTGCCATATTACTACCGTCTTCTTGCTTGATTGCTCTTACTTCATAGTATTTGCAATCATTTATAATTTTTTGGATACTTAATATATGTAACAATTACCTCTTTATTTTGTAATATCTTAAAGTTAGAAATGTCCATAAAATCAGTTATAGTCAATCGTCCGTGTTTATTTTGTATTATATTTTTTATCTCATCTAAATGTAAAGTTGCAAGGTTTAAAATTCCTATTTTTGTCATAGCTATCGTATGAACCACATTTTGTAGTTCAGCTATTAAAAATTTATATTA